TTAGCTCACTTGTGAGAGCGTGGTGCTGACAACACCAAGTCAAGGGTTAAGATCCCCTTATCGTTCACCTTTAAAAATATTAATAATAATAATATGGGAAATTGCCCTGTCAAAACTTTTTATAAAGCCTTGACAATGAAAACACAACTTGTGTAGGGATAAATGAAAAGACCAACAGGACAGAACAGAGAGCTCAGCCACAGACCTGTGTGGATATGTGATCTATGACTCTGGTGGCATCAGAATCAGTGGGGAAAGGACTCAACACTCAATAAAAGTGCCCATATGGAAAAAGATAAAGTTAAGTGCTATGTCACACCACGCACAAAAATTCCCAGTGGCTAAATGACTTCAACATGGAAAAGAAAAATATTTAAACTTTGGAAGAAAATGTAGGATGAATATCTTTTTGATAATAGGGTANAAGAAAAATATTTAAACTTTGGAAGAAAATGTAGGATGAATATCTTTTTGATAATAGGGTATAAAATGATTTCTTAAAAATGATCAGTGATTGGGCCGGCCCGTGGCTCACTCGGGAGAGTGTGGTGCTGATAACACCAAGGCCCTGGGTTCGGATCCCATATAGGGATGGCCGGTTTGCTCACTGGGTGAGCGTGGTGCTGACAACACCAAGTCAAGGGTTAAGATCCCCTTACCGGTCATCTTTAAAAAAAAAAAAGAAAAAAAAAAGATCAGTGAAAAGGATGAAGTATAAAGAAAAAAGGCCTTTAAAATGCCTTTACATTAATATTAAAATCTCCTGTACAATAAAAATAACATAAACAAAGAGAGAAGACGAGCCATATGCTAGAAAAAAGTATTTGTAACCATACAGCCAACAAAAAGTGTAAAGAATGTGGAAAGAATGCGGAAAGGATAGCTAAAGTAGGGTAAGGTTTTCACATCCTTGAGTTTGGCAAAAATTAAGGAGCTTGACAATGCCGAGGGCATGGGAATGGATTTACTGGTTTGTAGAATTGGTGCATCGAGTTGTAGGCACATGTGCTCTTTGACTAGCCCTTCCAAGTCTCTCCTAGAGAAACTCTGGACACATATGCACAAGAGGACCTGAACTACGAATTGTGTGTTGTGATATGGCTTGTAATAACCGAAAAGTAGAAATTACTCAGATGCCTGTCCATAACCTTTTGAATGAGTAAACTGCAGTTTGTTCACAGTGAATTACTTACACAGCAGTCAACATGCGTCACCCATGCACATGTGGATCAATGGAAGTGAATCTTACAAACGTGGTCTGGAGCAATCAACACAGTTGCAAAAGGAGACACATGGACCATTTATGTACGACTTAAAAACATACAACTTGGGGCCGGCCCCGTGGCGCACTGCTACAGTGTGCCGCTTGGGAGTGCGGTGGCGCTCCCGCCGAGGGTTCGGATCCCACATACAGAC